TACACACTAAAAACTATATTATAGCCTAACTATTCCTATAAACCTTACTTCGCATATAAATAACATTTAACACATTCCTAATATTTTTCAAAAAAAATTGTATGTGAAATAAAATAAAATAAACAACAAAATTTAAGTAAGTTATTTATTAAATGAATATGTAATTTCTCTTACATTTTAATAACTACTATAATTTCATCGAAAACATTTCTTACCACCGACTCCAGATTTCGGCGAATGAATTCCCACAGTCGATGACTCCGTAGATAAAAATGCCACATCATTTATGAACAAAACCGAAACTTACTAAAAACCATATATAAAAACCTATCTAATGAAACTTAAACAACGAATATTAACTTAATTAAGATTATTTTCATATTGATAAATCGTTTAATACAAATATAAATACTATAAATATAGAATTATATCAAGTTTTGATATACGATATAAAAACATGAAATTTTCCATTTCATTATTAATTGGTGTCATTAGAAGAATCCACTAAACTAACAATCGAAAAAAATACACGCAAATATAATGATCCCGGCTCCGCGCTTGCGCGAGGAATATGCAACTAGTAAAGAAAATAGTTGAAAAACGTGATTGTAATTTTTCTGGTCAACAAAAGAGAACATCTCTTCAATTAAAAAAGAGAGCACCGAATCAAAAGAATCAAATGCGCCGTTACGACTTACGATATACCACATTCCAACGTCATTACTCTCTTTTTATAATGTTTTTTCATTGATATGTAAAAGGAAAAACATTTACAACTTTATTCCTAGCTGAGACAAGACGTTACTTACGCAGCTCCAGAGTTGGTGGTGGTCGAGATCCGGCGTCGACGGGATCTCTTCCTCCTCGTGCAATAACGATGATGATGATGAAGATTCCGAGCGGTGTTGTTGCTTCAGTCATTGCCTTCTCCACCGCTGCTCTCTCTTCTTCTTCCTCTGCTATTCCTGCGGTCTCCTCACAGGTTTCCTCTTTTTAGCATTTGTGATTACAGATCTGCTCTTGTAGGCTCATATGAATCTGATTATACTGTATATGTTTTGAATTGAAATGAATGAGCAGGGGTGGGAATCGAGGGGGTCGGAGAAACTGGAGCCGAGGTTTGATGGGTTGAGGTTCATAGAGACGCTGGTCACAGCACACAGATAGATTCATTATGATTTTTGGCCTTGGGGTGATGCAAAAGCTTTGACACAAAGCGTGAGTGCTCTCACTAGGGTCTAAAGGTCTTATTATCTTTGTCTTGTTGTCTTCTATTTACCAAAACTGTCTTTCTTTTACAATTTACAATGTGTACTGAGACTTGTATCATTCTTTGTTGCCCACTTTGCTTCAAGGGTTATGCTAAATTGAGACTTGTATCGTTCTTCAATGGAATGACATCAATTTGGTGTCTTCGACTCTTTGTCTTTCAACATATGAGTTCAGATCCAAAATGAATTATAGACAAAAGATAATAAAATATAGCTGAACCTAACGGATCATTAACCGAACTAGACCCCAAACATATAGAAAACCCAAATGGAGCTTGGAACCTGAAAATCCTGGAGAATATAACATTGGATAGAGAATACTATAACATTGGAGGCCACTTTTAAGATTTTATTGTCACTCTAAGTCAATTGGGGTCCTTTTCAAATGGTTAATTACACCAATAACCTCTCCACTTAGCAAACTAAACTGGTAAAATCAATTTTTTTGTGTTCTCTCTTTTTCTTTAACTTTTCAGATCTGAGTTAAACTAAACGTCGAACATTTTTCCAACAAGACGCTTGAAGCTTTAATCATTTATACAAAAAAGTTGAATTTTATGGAGTCTTAGATTTAATTTATTCTCTTTTTATTTATTTTTGAAATCTTTTTAATTTGATAAACATTGGATTTCGGCTTACGAATCCGGATGGAGAGGCAGTGTAAGTGATGGAAGAAAGATTGAATTAACCAGAGACGAGGCCGTGGTTGTCAGAAAAGTGGCGGATAAATGCACTGGGGGAGAAGAGCCATCGTGTTTGTTTGGATTATAAGCAGTTAAAACTCAAAATTATGAAAAACTTGTTAATTGTTTGGTTTTTTATTGAGTTATGGAGTTAAACACGCAAAAAAAATGAAGATGGCTATGAAAAAAATCAATGGCGGTTTCGAGATTAGTTGCAGAATTCGCTGAAAACTCTAACATAAAGATGACAAATTTATTACAAAAAGCCACTAATTAAAAATATATTAAAATCAAACTACTCATAATGTACAATTATATTTTTGTACATGTATACAATTGTTGTTGTGTACAGAATTTTATTAGTGTACACATGCGAACGCTGTGACACCGTGAATTGGTGTACAATGACAAATATGGGTACACGGTTACTGATGTATTGCATCAGTAAAGTTTATGTGTAAAATTGTGTTTTACTGTATTAGAGGAGTACGAGATGGTTACACGGTGACAAAATGAATTGGTGTACAATGATAAATATGTACTCTATCAACATTACAGAGTACATTCATTGTTCTCTTCAGATTCATCCATTGTTATGATTAAAAATTGCAAACATATATATAAGTAGTTTCTGCATGTACATGTTAATTATTATCCACGTGTACAATGATACAATTTTTACATGTACACAAATTATGATATCCACATGTACAACTTATATTATTATCTATATGTACACATTTGTACAACTTAATTACCAATCACTGCCAGGCTTGTTTTACGACAACAAACGATATCGCCAAAAGCCGCTTTTGGAAACCAAAAAACGAGACACCTGTGACATAGAAACTAGAAGGAGCTTCAGATCTACAATTTCTTGCCTTTCAATATCTGTGAGCCTTTTCTTTGCAATTGAGATCTCATAATTTTAACAAGTTTTAACATTTGTTTTATTTCATTTAAATTATTTTAGAATGTATATAGATGTTTTCAGTAAGTATAGGTATTCATTTGCACATAACAGGAGCTGAATTGCATTTTCTGAAAGTTTAGAACGAACCGAAAATAAATTCCCCCACTAGGAAAAATTTGGGTCAGAGTCGTGATTAATCCCAAGTCGAGGGACTATTTATGCAATTTTAAATAAGTTGGGTCAGAGAGATCGTAACCCAGATTGTCGATCTCTGCTTCGGGATAGTCGCGACAAAGAGCACGAAACCAACAGAGCTGAGCACGGCGACGTAGTAAACAACTTGGATAGTGCTCTCAATGTGGATTGGACTTTGATTCCGGTGGAGAGGAGCTGCAACAGCGAACTCAGACTCGCGCGATGGATTGCGGTGGAGGGAACTCGGAGAGACGGCGATTCAGAGCTTCTCGATGGTTGCCACAGCGGTGTTCGTGTTACAGTGGAGAACACTCCCAACGAGAGTAGATCATGGAGTGGTCCAAATCGAGCTCAGCCGCGGGTTGAAGTGAGCAGATGGTCACGATTCAAGAGAGGGCGTGACAACTTTGTGATTTCCTATTCTCTTCCTTTTCTGAATTCTTATTCTCTCTCTGGATATTATAATCCCAAAATGAACCGATGATGATGATGATAGAAACAATTTTTTTTATTGTAGATGTGAAATTTGTTTTTAAATTAAATTTTATTTTCTGGTTAGAAAAGAAAAGGGCAGTGTTGGGATTTTACATTACCTATCTATGTGTAAAAAAAGAAAAAAGTGTCTTAGGAGCATTAAGTGACTTAGAGTGACATTGATATGTGTGAAAGTGATCATGAATGTAATTTTCTCAAAATCCTATATGCACCCGAACGTTAATGCCTACTTCTTAAAGTTACATAAACCGATTTGGTTGAATTCAAGGTCTCTATTCATGATTTTAAATTCAATTTTGAAGCAATGACTACGTTATCCCTACATAATACTTGTCATATCTCTAACGATTACAAGACGTGATAAACAATGTGAAATATAATCTTAGAAAGTGTAATCTCAAGAAATTGAAGTCTGATATTGTAGAGGATTCGTTTGTTATTTGGTTTGATTCGAGAATGAGAATGATTTGATTTCTTTTCCAGAACGATAAGCAAATAAATAAGAACACAACGAGATATTATCCAGTTTAGATGCAAAACCGCAATCCTACGTTTGGCCGAGGATTTCCTCGGAATTTACTAAGCTCTGTAAATCTACGCCACCGTAACTTTCACCGAAAAATCCCAAGAGTAATCACTCACCACCGAAGATCAGTCTCTCTCTTTATCCTTTCTCTCTCTATCATTTTTCTCTCTCACCGTGTTTCCTAAAAGCTTTCACTTCACCCACACACCGTTACATTCCGTCACACAACAGCCTCTCTGTGTGGACCCCATGCGTAACAACCTGATTTGAAAAACAAAGAAGATAGAGATACGACGGAGTATTACAATAGACATTAAACCGACTTCTAAACCGAAATCAAATGTCAATCCTCCATAACCGGTTTCAAGGCAAAACCTTCTGATCTCCATGGAGTCTTTCAACCAAACACTCAACAAACTCCACTTTGGTTCAAAGACCACCATGCTGAGCTTACCAGACTCCATCCTTGATTTCCTCTGCTTATTACGCAAAGACTCTAAGTAGGTTTAACAGTTTTTTTACACCTACCTACTAGAAGTACCTTAATGAACACGTCTGCATAATTTTCACTAGTGTGAACTTTCAAGACCTGCAACCAACCGTCTTCAACACTTTCTCTCAAGAAACTGAGCTTTGTATCTATATGCTTTGCTCTCTCATGATGAACATTATTCTTCGTTAATGCCAAAACACTTTGAGAATCACTAGAACAACTCCACATACTTGTGTTTGTAACCAAACTATGTACTAAGGCCTGTCATCCAAATCACTTATTTTGCAGCTTCTGTCATAGATAAGAACTCAGCTTCTGTGGTTGATAACGCCACAACTCTCTGCAAACTTAATTTCAAATTTATAGTACCACCTCTTGATACAAAAGTGTAACCTGGAATATATCTTCTTTTATCCAAATCACCAGCACAATCTGAGTCACATAAACCATACATCTTGAACTCAGAACCTTTCTTAAAGATCAAACACATCTCTATACTTCCCTTGATGTATTTTAGAATTCATTTAACAGCTTCCCAGTGTTCTTTCAATGGATTACTCATAAACCTACTCACAAGTCCAACAATATAAGCGAGATCAGATCTGGTTCCTATCATCCTATACATGAGACTTCCAACAGAATTGCAATACGCAACAAATTCGTCACATCCCTCACCAGCTTTAAGATCCTCTTCTGTTGCAGCTTTGAGCTTGAAATGACTCCCTAAAGGAGTACCAACCGACTTGGCATTGTCCATATTATATGTTTTAAGAACCTTCTTCATACAATCAGCCTGAGATAGCTTCAGAGCACCATGAACTCTGTCCAATGCCTAAGATCTTTCTAGCTTCTCCAAGATTTTTCATTTCAAACTGAGAGCTCAACTGATCCTTCAGATTCCTGAGCGGCTTCTTATCCTTGCAAGCTATTAACATATCATCAACATACAAGAGTAAGTAGATGTTACCTTTATTCGTGCGTTTGATATGCAGACACTGATCATGACAGCTCCTTAAGAAACCAACTTCCTTCATAAACTTATCAAACTTTTGATTCCACTGTCTTGGACTCTGCTTCAACCCATACAACGATTTCTTTAACAAACATACCCAGTCCTCCTTCCCTTCAACTTCATACCTTTCAGGTTGACTCATATAAATATCTTCTTCCAGGTCTCCGTTCAGAAATGATGTTTTCACATCCAGTTGTTCAAGTTCAAGGTCTTCATTGACCACAACAGACATCAAGTATCTTATTGCTAGTGAGAAGATTTCATTGTAATCTACACTTTCCTACTGAGCATAACCTTTTGACACTAACCGAGACTTGTGTCTAGGCTCTTCTATTCTAAGGAAACCAGGTTTACGTTTGTATATCTACTTACAGCCAATCACTTTTCTCCCTTTTGGTTTCTCCACTAGGTCCCATGTATGATTCTTTTTTAAGGACTTCATTTCTTCGTCTGAGGCCATGATCCCTTTCTTCTTTTCTGGATCATTCCTAGCAGATTTATAGTCACTTGGTTCAATACAGTCACCATCTTCAGATACATACATTTCCATGTACACATAGTCATCAAACTTCTTAGGAATCTTGGCCTCTCTCTGCGTCATGTCCCTAGCAAGTTGATAAGTATCAAGGTCATGATTGCCTGAGACTTCTTCATTTTCAGAAACAACATCTTCAGTTTCTTCTTCTAGTTGAATCTCAACTGGATTCTCTCCATCTGAGCTAACATCCTGCTCATTTTCAGATAGAACCACATCTAAGAAAGTAGTGTTCTTTTCCCTTTGATCAGTCATAGCTATCACCAAATCTCTATAGCTTTCAGTTTCCTTAAATGTCACATTCCTACTGACTACATCCCTCTTATCATTAAGAGACCATACTTTGTACCCTTTTATTCCTCCAGGATAACCGATAAAGATTCCATTTTTAGCTCTAGGTTGCAGCTTCCCATCATCTGAGTGATAGTAACACACACATCCAAACTTTCTCAGATGGTTTAACTTAGGAAATTTGTTTGTCCATAACTATTCTGGAACTTTATCATCAACCCCAGATGATTGTGATATGTTTATCACATATACCGCAGTGTTTACAGCCCCAGCCCAGAACACTTTAGGCAAACCACTTTCATTCAAGATGCTTCTTACTCTCTCCAATATTGTTATGTTCATTCTCTAAACAATACCATTATGTCGTGGAGTGTAAGGGATTGTTTTATGTCTTCCAATACCATTACTTGAACATAACTCATCAAACTCGTCACTGCAGATTTCCAAACCGTTATCAGCTATGAGCTTCTTCACTTTTAAACCAGTTTGATTCTCAACCAACAACTTTCATTCCTCAAACTTCTCAAATGCTTGAGCTTTTGTTTTCAAGAAGAACACCCAGACCTTTCTCGAGTAGTCATCTATCAGACTCAAGAAATAATGACACTTTCCAAGAGACTCTGGGACCGTAGATGATCCCCAAAGATCTGCATGTATACAATCAAGACATGCCTCACTAGTATGTTCGCCAGTATTAAAACTAACTCTGTTAGCCTTTCTAAAAATACAACTTTCAACTTAACTTTATATACTTTTGTGTTATCAAAATATCCTTTTCTCACCAATGTGTCCATTCCTTTCTGACTAATATGTCAAAGTCGACTATGCCAGAGATCAGATTCATCTGGAACACTTACTGCATTTACTTCACCACTATAACCATTTCCTTGTAAGTAATGCAAATTTTCTTCTCGCCTAGCCTTGAGAATAGTTCTTCAACCTTTCTTTACACAGAGAACTTTATTTTCATATACAAAAGTTCAGCCATTACTCTCAAGAGCCCCAAGAAAAAGTAAGTTTCTTGAGAACTGAGGAACAAATCTGACCTTCTGACGTCTTCAGGGTTATAGTGCCAACTTCCTCAACTGATGACATACTATTGTTTGCCATTCTTACTGAACCTTTAGTGAACTCATGACTCAGAGAACCAATCCTTCCTTGGTGTCATGTGAAAAGAACAACCAGTGTCAAAGATCCATAGTTCATTAAAGTCCACTGTTGTTACCATATTTGTTCTGTAACAACCAGTGACTCAATGAACTCAACTCCAGTCACTGCAGACGATTCACCAGACACAAAAGATCTCTCTTTCCCTTTCTGATTGCTTCTTTTGGATAATTTCTCTTGAAATGTCCCTCCTCACCACACACCCAGCACGTAAGACAATTCCCTTTTCCTTTTGACTTATATCTTGACTGGAATTTGCTTGATAAGAAACACGCTTAGTATTTCTTCCTCTCGACTGAGATTTTGAGTATAAGACCTCACCATGACTCTTGCTTCTTTTTCCATTTACACTAAACTCCAACTGCTTTGAATGAATCTAGTTCATAACTTCATCCATAGTCACAATATCTTTGCCACATCTAAGAGTGTCCCAAACTGCGTAGGCAATGCCATCAATAGCAATATTGCTTGATCATCATCAGATACCTCCACCATGAAATTTCCGAGATCAGATATGATCCTGAGAAACTCATCAATATTTCTCTCTATGGACATATACTCATTCATTTTATATCCATAGAGTCTTTGCTTCAGATCATTTGATTAGGCATAGATAATGACATGTACTGAGCATCAAGGATCTTAAGCATACCAGCAACAAATTTCTCTCTAATAATCTTCCTTAAGATCTTATCAGTCACATTCATGATGATCGTACTTTGTACCTTATGTTGCTTCTCTGCAATCAATGGATCTGGCTTCTTAGTTGAATCCGTATCGGATTCTTCATCCTTCGCAATTGGATCCTTCATCTTTGAGTCAGCTTTCCTCGGTTCTTCTTCCTGAAGCAAGAATGCCTCTGTCAAGCCTAGAAGATTGAGATCCGCCAGCAAACTCTCCTTCCACATGTTGTAACCAATCACTCCATCAAACTTCTCCATCTCGACTTTCGCGGAAGACATCAA